ATATGTATCGGGTGATCCAGATTAATGTGGGATGGCTTAGTTAGCAATTCCCAGGTGTAAAAATATAGAAAGCCAAGTGGCATTAAATGCCACTCTTTGTTTTTAATGAAAAGGAGGACTAGGGATAACATATGAGTCTTCCAAAGTTAAGGGGCTGCCATAAAGAAGAGGGAGTCAAGCTATTCTCCAAAGCGCCGGAAGGCCAAACAAGAAGCAACGGGTGGAAACTAATCAAGGAGAGAAGCAACCTGGAACTAAGGAGAAACTTCCTGACAGTGAGAACAATTAACCAGTGGAACAATCTGCCTCCAGAAGCGGTGAATGCTCCAACACTGGATGTTTTTAAGAAGAGACGGGACATCCATTTGTCCGAAATGGTAGAGGGTTTCCTGCCTGAGCAGGGGGTTGGACTAGATGACCTCCAAGGTCCCTCCCAACTCTGTTATTCGGGGAGCAGGAGAGAGAGTTTTGAGCTGACCTACCAAGGGTTTTCTAAGGAACCTCGCCAACAATCAGGATATGCAGACAGAGCTATGATCATCTTACTTGCAACTGTGGGGTCCTTGGTCCTCTCCGAGCTTGGTCTTCTTGCAGATGTTTCATTACCCAACTAGGTAACGTTATCAGTGCTGGAAGGGAGTGAGGATCTGGTGTCTTTTTATCTACTAGTAGCTTGCTCTGTGGGTTTTGATGTAAGTGATGATTCCTTGATTAGGCTGTTGTTTATTCTTTGAATAAACTGTATACCAAACACCACTCCTACCACTGATGACATTACCTAGTTGGGTTATGAAACGTCTGCAAGAAGACAACCAAGCCCAGAAGGCACCAAGGACCTCAACAGTTCAATCCTGAGCTACATTCTCTTCTATGAGAAGAACTCATGACCACACCAAGAATCAAATTCATTTTTTTTTCCAAACACGTACTCATCCACTTCCTGATGGAACAGCTAATAGAAAAGCCACGTATCTTGACCAAATGATTACAATACGGTGTTAAACTTCCCAAAAAAAAACCAAAGGGAGGTGAGTAGCAAAGAAATAATATCCCATAGATTCAATTTAATACAGACTTTCAAATTCTATTTTTGAAACACAAACTACGTCTACATCTTCTTATGGGCAATCGAGATTTATGGAGAGTTTACGCTGGTGGAAAGGGTGGTTTTTGTAAAGCTTGACATATGACCGAGAGAAAATGGTATGAATAAAAAAAATTGGTTTGCAGCTCTCATTTTCCAGTCACTGGTTTTCAATATGTTATTTCTATTTTGTGCAATGTCAACGGAGGCAATGGCTTCCCAAGAGACAGCTGATGGGGCTTTCTTTCATCTGGACACCTCATGTGTTCTTCCTATTTATTTGACATTGAAGGTGCAGCCCGATAACTGAGTGACTGCCTATTATTATTATTATTATTATTATTATTATTATTATTATTATTATTTTCCTCCCCCCAAAGATGCACGTCAGTGGGTACATCAAGAGTGAGGCTTTATGGGTACTGAAAATCAAGAAAGAAAAAATGCAGCGGTTTAGAGAACACATATTATAGGGAGCCCTCAACTTACAACAGTTCATTAAGTGACCACTTGAAGTTACAACGGCACTGAAAAGAGTGGCTTATGACCCCTTTTCACACTTATGACCGTTGCAGCATCCCCGTGGTCGTGAGATCAAAATTCAAATGCTTGGCAACTGGTTCATATTTATGACGGTTGCAGCGTGCCGGGGTCATGGGATCCCTTTTGTGACATTCTGACAAGCAAAGTCAACGGGGGAAGCCGGATTCACTTAACAACCGTGGAACTAACTTAACTGCTGCAGTGATTCACTGTAGTAAGAAAGGTGATGATAATAATAATAATAATAATAATAATAATAATTATTATTATTATTATTATTATTATTATTATTATTATTATTATTATTATATTTCTATAGAAATAGAAAGACTGTGGCAAAAGCAAGCAAGGGTAGTACCAATAGTGATAGGCTCCTTGGGTGCAATCCCAAAACAACTGGAGCACCACTTGAACACCATTGGCATTGACAAATTCGCTATTAGTCAATTGCAAAAGGCGGCCTTATTAGGAACTGCTTCCATCCTGCGACGAGATCTGTAATACCATCAAACATCCATATCTGCCTATCCCAGGTCCTGGGTAAGGACTCGATAGGTAGACAAAATGCCAAATTTAGTCTGAACATCTGGCTGACTGTGCGATGATCGATAATAAAAAAGTTGGAAGAGATCTTGGAGGTCGTCTAGTCTAACCCCCTGCTCAGGAAGGAAGCCCTATACCAGTGGTGGCGAACCTATGGCACATCTGCCTATCCCAGGTCCTTGGTAAGGACTCGATAGGTCAGTGATGGTGAACCTATGGCATGCGTTCCAGAGGTGGCACTCGGAGCCCTCTCTGTGGGTACGCGTGTCGCCGCTACCAGCAGTTTGCGCAGGTCCATTAGGCTGCTTCTGCCACCCGGGGCGGCAGCCACACCCAGCACAAAGGAGGCGAAGCGGCCAGCTTGCGAGCTCGAGTAGAGGTGGTAGAACATGCCCACACCCAGCAAGCCAAAAGCCACCCTGAGCAGAGAAAGCCGGATCCCCATCGGCGCCATGGCCCCCCAGTCCCAGCTAGGATTGCATGCCTCCCCCCCATCTATGCTGGGTCTCCTGTCCACCGCCCCACCCGCCAGAGACCTCCTGGATCTCCCCCATCCCTGCCCGGCCCCCACAGGCATCCCCATGGGCAGCATCAAGGTGGCCACGCCCACCCAATGGGCCACACCCCCATGCCCCCCCTGAGGGCACCACAATGCCCTGGCACTTTGCGATAAATAAGTGGGTTTTGAGTTGTGGTTTGGGCACTCGGCCTCTAAAAAGTTCGCCATCACTGCCCTATACCATTTTGGACAAATGGTCGTCAAGTCTCTTCTTAAAAACTTCCAGCGTTGGAGCATTCACCGCTTCTGGAGGCAGGCTGTTCCGCTGGTTAATTGTTCCAACGGTCAGGAAGTTTCTCCTAAGTTCTAGGTTGCTTCTCTCCTTGATAAAATGGGTCAGAACTAATTTAATTGTCTCGCTTTGCAATGGAAATTTTGGGCTTCATTGTGGCCGTTAAGTTGAGGACTACCTGTACCTAATGCCAATTCTGTTTGGCCAGAGCCAAAGTGATGGTCTTAAACATTGTAAATGACCCTGGACCTGATTATATAAAGAAGAAGCTTCCGTTGAGGCTTCTATGACAAACATATGGCATAAGCTCTTTTGAGTGAGTCTTCTACCATTTCTCCCGAGCGCTCACTTTATCTTGATTATTTTTAAGAATAGGGAAGTCAGGTGTAATATAACGGGGACTCTCAGTTATACTCTTAACCACAGTTAAGGAGGCCAAGGGGCACAAAGACAAAAGTCTTGGCGTGATGGAAGAAAATTGAAGCCTATTGAATTTAAGACAGATAAATGATCCTCCTTTTGATAGCAGCCTTTCAGTTCTGAGTAAATTTTTCACAGGCAGACATTCAGGACTGCTCCCAGTAATAAAAATACTGCGTATTAAGCCAGCTGTCCACAACCTTTTGAGCACCAGGGACCGGTTCCATGGAAAAACTGTTTTCCACCGAACCAGCTTCAGCTGCACATGCCTGGGTGGCACAGCGTGAAAAACCCCGCATCTTCTGTGGAAATGTTTTTCCCCATGGACCAAGGGGGAATGGTTTCAAACGCTACCACACCCGGCACGTGCACATGAAGCTGCAGAGCCCTGTATTAAACTATAATTTAATTGTGGGGTTTTTTTTTCATTTTCATTTTTTTTTCATTTTCATAAAACATATAAGTACAGGTATAATAGAGGGGGTACCTTGCTCAATAGTAGTAACTGTGATAGGGATCTCCGAGTCCTAGTGGACAATCACTTAAATAGGAGCCAGCAGTGTGCTGCAGCTGCCAAAAAGGCCAACACAGTGCTGGGCTGCATTAACAGAGGGATAGAATCAAGATCATGTGAACTGTTAATACCACTTTACAAGGCCTTGGTAAGGCCACACTTGGAAAACTGCATCCAGTTTTGGTCACCACGATGTAAAAAAGATGTGGAGACTCTAGAAAGAGTACAGAGAAGAGCAACAAAGATGATTAGAGGTCTGGAGGCTAAAACATATAAAGAAAGGTTGCTGGAATTGGATATGTCTAGTTTAATGAAGAGAAGGACCAGGGGGGACATGATAGCAGTATTTCAATATCTCAGGGGCTGCCATAAAGAAGAGGGGAGTCAAGCTATTCTCCAAAGCACCAGAAGGCAGGAGAAGATGCAACGGATGGAAACTAAATCAAGGAGAAAAGCAACCTAGAACTAAGGAGAAACTTCCTGACAGTGAGAACAATTAACCAGTAGAACAACCCGCCTCCAGAAGCGGTGAATGCTCCATCACTGGAAGTTTTTAAGAAGAGACTGGACAGCCATTTGTCTGAAATGATATAGGATTTCCTGCCTGAACAGGGGTTTGGACTAGATGACCTCCAAGGTCCGTTCCAACATCATCAGCAGCAGCAGCAAGATTAGCACAATGCTTTAAACCAGTAGTTCTCAACATTTTCTTGACCGTTGACCCCTTTTAAATACCTTTTGGGGCCATGGACCCCCAAGACTTAACTCAAGATTTAAATCCTTAACGTTTCTCCCAAGCCTTCGCAGGAGCCCTTGTGATGACATTCCCACCCCGCCACAGCTCACAGGTTGAAAAGCCCCTGCTTTAAACTAAAAGGCTTAGGAGAGAGAAACCTCAATGGCTAACTTTAGAAGGCGGAATAGGTGAACCAGTCACAACGGATGCAGCTCAGACAGAAGCTATTGCAGTCATTCATGTACAGCTACCGACATGTTCTCAGATGACGCAGCATCAACATCTGTGTAACATTATTGATTCATTTATCCTAAGTTAGCCCTTGAGCAGGTGCAGAGTCAACCCCGTTGAGGTACGTAATAATCTTACCTTTGGCCAGTCTTTCCAGCCTCTTGCCATGCTCTGGAGGTATAGCATACCTGGTGAAGGGAAAAAAAAAAAAAAAGCTCATCAGCAAAATTAAGTCCAGAATCTTTGCTTCCAAACTGATTCATTAGGGATCTGTTGGCAGAAGTTTGTTCTTCTCCCTTCACTACCGCACCAGCCAGGAGATTTCCCCTATCAAAACATCTCCTCCCTTCTCCATCCATTACTTCAAACACGAACAACAGAATAACAGATTTGGAAGATTTTCTAGTCTGCTTGAGCAGGGGGCTGGACTAGAAGACCTCCCAGGTTCTGTTCTGTTCTATTCTATCCTAGATTCTATTCTACTTTATCCTAGATTCTATCCTAGATTCTATCCCATCCTAGATTCTATCCTATCCTAGATTCTATCCCATCCTAGATTCTATCCTATCCTAGATTCTATCGTATCCTACATTCTATTCTACTCTATCCTAGATTCTATCCTACATTCTATCCTATCCTAGATTCTATTCTACTCTATCCTAGATTCTATGCTATGCTATGCTATTCCATATTCTATTCTATTCTATTCTATTCTATTCTATTCTATTCTATTCTATTCTATTCTATTCTATTCTATCCTATCCTATATTCTATCCCAGTGTTTCCCAAACTTGACAATTTTAAGGCATGAGGACTTCAACTCCCAGAATTCCACAGCCAGCAACTCTGGCTGTGGAATTCTGGGAGTTGAAGTCCACATACCTTAAAATTGTCAAGTTTGGGAAACACTGTTCTATCCTATTCTATTCTATCCATGCTGGCTCAGGAATTCTGGGAGTTGAAGTCCATGGTAGGGGTAGGCAACCTTGCTCTTTTATGACTCGTGGACTTCCACTCCCAGAATTCCTGAGCTGGCATGGCTCAGTTTGGAAACCTCTCCCTTTCCCCTCAGCGTGCCGGCTCAGGAATTCTGGGAGTTGAAGTCCACGAGTCATAAAAGAGACAAGGTTGCCTACCCCTGAGTCTTTGATCCATCTACCACCACTTTAGCAGGCAGGCACAAAGATCAGGGCTAAAAGGGAGGGTGGCGTCTGCTCTAAACCCCCATGCTCAGAAAGCACCAGGGATAACCAGCTCCTCCTCCTCCCTCCTTTTCCACTTGCTTCTCCTTCCCCTCGTCTACTCAAACCCTACTCTCTTCTAGCACTGGTGACGTTACCTAGCTGGGTCATGAAACGTCTGTAAGAAAACAATCTCAGAGAGCACCCACAGTTCAAACATTCTCTTCTATCAGTAACTTCCTGTGTTTCCCATAGGAAAAGCCGCTTTCACTGACAGCTACAAAGGCTCTGGAAACAAAGATTTATTTATTTATTTTTTAAAAAAAGGATATATCCCAAAATTTCTATAGATGAAAGCGATGTTTTTCCTCTGAAATAGTCAGCCAACTCATGCTCTAATGCAGTGTTTCCCAAACTTGACAATTTTAAGGCATGTGGACTTCAACTCCCAGAATTCCACAGCCAGCGTTGCTGGCTGTGGAATTCTGGGAGTTGAAGTCCACATGCCTTAAAATTGTCAAGTTTGGGAAACACTGCTCTAATGTTAAGGGATCCAGAAAGAAAATATGGACAAAAAAAAAAAGAGTGCTGGAACATTACCTGTTCACTTCTCTCTGTTTTGTTTGCCTGGAATTTTAATTTTTTAAAGCCATTTTTCACTAACATAAAACAAACAAAGCAATGAATAAATTAATTCAGATCCAAGCGCTCCTTCTGTTGGATTAGCGAGGAACGCGCTATCCTATTTCTTCGGGGAACGTGTTGAAAGTTTTGGGGCTCCTTCGCGGTGAGGAGGCAGTCAACGGTGAATGCCACTCTTTGGATTACGATGCTATTTTTTTACTTAATTACCGCCTGTCATTGGGAGTTAGACAGATAAGATTAATTGAATTGTGAGGCTGTTGAAGTGAATATTGTTGGGACGCGGCTACCCCGGGTTATCGTGCTTTGCAGAAGTACCTAACGGAATTCTGGAGAGATGTCCCACGGAATTAGTACGGAGCGGCTTGGCTAGGAAGCCAGCAAACTGCATTAATGAGCTTAAAATCAGGAAAGGGAGGGAGAAAAAAAGAGTTGCAGTCTTGCCAGTCATGCTAAGAACCGCCAGCATACTCTTGCTTATAAAGGGGGGGGGGGGAGACACTTATTACTTTCTTTCAAATTATTGAATTATGAATTCATTAGACCAGTGGTTCTCAACCTGTGGGTCGGGACCCCATTTGGGGTCGAACGACCATTTCACGGGGGTCGCCAAACAAGGCTGTCCGCCATTTTTTTCCCCTTTTCTTTGGCCATGCCCCTGGCACCCAGTGATGTATAAGTGCTTGGGGGTCACCACAACATGGGGAACTGTATTATGGGGTCGCGGCATTAGAAAGGTTGAGAACCACTGCATTAGACCCAATCGGAGCTAATGAGAAAAAAGACAAAGCCCAAGAAATTAATTCTAGCCCACCAAAAGGAGCAAAAACTACAAAGCTCTGGTTGAAAGATGCCAGGCAAAGGAAGACCCATCCTTCCCATCCCGGCCACGTTCAAACGGAAACGGCGGCGGCAGGAGACGCCACACATTTTGGCTGAACCACAAAGCAAAACTCCCAAGACGCATAATCTCCTTTCCCCTTTCCGAAATATTGGGAGGCCCAGAAAGGTTCCAGACCTTTGGCCAAAGGCCTTGTTGAAACCACAGAGGGCAGGTCGGGTCAATGGCGGCAGCCAATGAACAGTGACTTTCATGACAGAAGACCGGAACGATCCTTCTCCTGTTCGGGAAATTAGGGAAGTCTTAATTGTGCTCCCAGGCTTTGGGGACAAGGTGATCGTGGAGTCCTCTTTTTGTTTATTTTTCTCTTTAGCCAATTTACTCTTTTACTCTTTACTAGACCGCTGGAAATCACTACACATATGGTGGCAATGCCCAGAGGCGCAAACATTTTGGAACTTATTAAAGAAATGGCTGGAAGAAATTTTGCTAATAGATATAGAGGCCAAACCGGAATTTTTTTTTTATTGGGAATTATAGAAAGAAAACATAAGAAAGATACAAATTATTTACTACTGCATACAGTAACAGCAGCACGAATAGCCTTCGCTCAAAAATGGAAAGAGAAAGATACTCCAACTGAAGAGGAAATAGTACTGAAAATTTTCAATTGCGCTGAAATGGATAGACTTACGTGCGAACTCAAGGATAAAAGTGAAACTAAGTACTACAAAATCTGGGAACAATGTTATGATTGGATAGACAATAAGAGGGTAGCCAAGACAAATGTATAGTGTTAGAATAAAATATAGATTATAGACAAATGTATATTTAAAAGATAAATAGATATACAGAAATAAGGGGAAAAGTGTTAATATTATATTATAAATAGTGAGCAAAGCTCAAGAACTGTATGTCCATATGAGTATTAATACTACTGTAAAATGTCGGAAGATGTATGGAACCAGTGACATCATATCTATGTCCAATGTGTTTTTAATTTTGTATTATTAATAAAAAAATATTTTAAAAAGATCGAGCATATCCAATACACCTTCCTCCTCCTCCTGCTTCTGCTCCTCCTCCTCCTCCTTTTTCCCACAAGGTCATCCAGCTGGCTTTCATGGCTAAAGTGGGACTTGAACTCACAGTCTCTTGCTTCCTAGGCTGGTGCCTTAACCACCAGACCAGGGGTCTTCCAACTTGGCCCTTTGATGACTTGTGGACTTCAACTCCCAGAATGCTTCAGCCAGGCACGCTGGCTGAGGAATTCTGGGAGTTGAAGTCCACAAGGCATCAAAGGGCCAAGTGTGAAGACCCTGGAAAAGAATAATAGACTAATACATAAAGTTAGAGCAGGGATCTTCAAACTTGGCCCTTTGATGACTTGTGGACTTCAACTCCCAGAATGCCTCAGCCAGGCATGCTGGCTGAGGAATTCTGGAAGTCTACAAGTCACAAAAGGGCCAAGTCTGAAGACCTCTGAGCTAGATGTCTCCCAGCATCTGATGCACATTGGCGGGTTATCTTCAAGCCTTAACAAAAAGGTATTGATTTCTTAAAAACCTATTTTTCCATCTAAAGGGAAAAGAGGCCTCATGAATGAAAAACATCCATTCTTCAAATAATAATGTGTGTGTGTGTGTGTGTATGTGTGTGTGTGTAGCCAACGAACACTGGAGAAGACCTTGAGATGCGCGCCAACTGTGTCAGTTGACCCGCATATCATACCACCTGTGGATTGGCTGAAATTCAAATGGACATTATGACTTGGCTGGGAGGAGGAATATTCCTTGCTTAACTATGCTGTGTGGGGGATTTTCCCCTGATCTCGCCTTGACTTCCTTCCTGTCACTGACCCCCTAATAAAAGTGTCCTTTTGAGACAAGGCCTGTTTCAAGAGTTCTGCTTTCTTGGGGGGGGGGTCAGTTGAAGTGGGTCCTTACGTAAGGTGACCAACCGTCCTCCTTTAGGGAGGACAGTACTCTTTTTGTAAGTTTTGTCCTCCCTCGAAAAGTGTCCTCCTAAATGTCCTCCTTTTCGATATTTGAAGACTAATCTGCAGGCTTTTTTTTCTCTCTCATAGAACGCTCAGAACGGGGTTCCGGCATCTTTTTTTGATGTTTTTTTTTTCCAACTTTTGCATGAGCTGTGCTACTCCCACTATTGGCTTTCAAAAGCCAATAGGAATTGCTGCTGAGCGCCCCAAAACACACAGCTGGCAAACTTTGCACATGCAAGTTGTAATAGTAGTAGTAGTAGTAGTAATAATAATAATAGTAGTAGTAGTAGTAGTAGTAAAGTTGGAAGGGACCTTGGAGGTCATCTAGTCCAACCCCCTGCTCAGGCAGGAAACCCTATACCATTTCGGACAAATGGCTGTCCAGTCTCTTCTTAAAAACTTCCAGTGTTGGAGCATTTACTGCTTCTGGAGGCAAGCTGTTCCACTGATTAATTGTTCTCACTGTCAGGAAGTTTCTCCTTAGTTCTAGGTTGCTTCTCTCATTGATTAGTTTCCACCCGT